TCCCTGCCCACGGCAGGGGGGTTGGACTAGATGACCTTTAGAGGTCCCTTCCAACCCAAACTATTCTATGATTCTATGATCTCTGCAAGCACTGTCCCTGGTGCATGTGTTCTGCCACCCTCTCTTTCCCTGAGGGCTCCAAAACCCTGTGCAAATACTAAACTCCAGCTAACTTGTGGGGCGAGCAACCTTGCTCTGAAGGCTCAGCTCCAGTTCTCGCTTTCAGAGTGTTAATCATTAAATTTCAACTTAATGGACAGACGAGGAAACTCAGGCTCAAACAGGCTTCATATTTCCAAAGGTGATGGGGAAGTAACAATGACAAAACTAAGCTCAGACTCTGGCTGTCAGCCCTGGATGGACTGAATTGCTGGCCAAAGGGACCCAGCTTTCCCTTCCACCGCACAGCTACACCAAGTGGTTCATGTCCTAGTGTAGGTGTCTTGGTTAAACACCCCAGGTCAGAGAGCGTGGATTTGGCCTAGTTCCACCCTCACTGTTACTGCATAGGTCTTTGCTTTGGAAAATGCTATTAAAATTCATCTTCACTTAAGTGTAGATGAGTGTCGGGCTAAAACATCTGTTAAAACCAAATAAAATGGAGCCCCAGCTGTTGGGAATAACAAAATCTGGGCAGATCTGCTGGGCGGGGGCTGTTCTCCCACAACACATCATGGGGTTGAGATACCTGAAGTCAGGAGAGGTTAAAAAGAAGAAAACCAGACAACACTCTAGGAGACCTGTCCTGCGTTAACCATGAGGGATGGTTCTTGTATTGCAGCCCTGCAGTCAATCTATGGAGCCGTACTCCTGTTCCCAATTAAAAACACAGTGATTTGGCCATGTTCTGGTCTGTAGCACACACTGAGTGTCACGAGTGGGCCAAAAAAGGGGGAGGCTCACTGGCCAGAAGATCCTAGTAACCTGTTTGTCCCAGCATCCTTGTTCCCAAGCCACCCAGCTCAACTTCTCCCCTCCTCCTAGCTGAAGTGAGACTCATGGAATCATAGAATCATTTAGGTTGGAAAAGACCTTTAGGATCATTGACTCCAACCGCAAACCTAACACTGCCAAGTCCACCACTGAACCATGTCCCTAAGCACCACATCTGCACGTCTTTTAAATACCTCCAGGGATGGGGACTCAACCGCTCCCCTGGGCAGCCTGTTCCAATGCTTGACAACCCTTTCGGTGAAGAATTTTTTCCTAATATCCAATCTAAACCTCCCCTGGCACAACTTGAGGCCATTTCCTCTCGTCCCCACCCTGTCAGTCTCCCTGATCCTGTTCTGGCATTTCTGTTGGTGTTTTGGCATTAGTTGTATTGAGTTTGCAGTGTTTCTCTGGGCTGGGCATCCCAGTCCGGGGAAGTTTGTCATGCTGACTTTCTATTTTGTTTTTCTTCTCTCTCTCTTCTTTCCCAGGGCTCTCTCATAGCAAGCATGGCTCTAGGTATCATCATTTTGAAGAAAAGGTAAATCACAAGCCTCTTTCTTATATCATCAGGGAATGCTCTGCCATTGACTTACTCCTGACTGGTGTTTTGTGCCCTTCCCTTTCCCGTTAAATACTCTTGTTTTACTGATGGGGAAACAGGGCCACACAGGTGTGCCTGGACTAGAGGCTGGAATAGTTCCCTCTTCTGCATTTCCACCACCCCTCACTCCTTCCTTTAAGGCAAGCATGGACTGAAAAGAAAGGTTTTACACGACTGCAGCCTTCTATGTTAGCTCTTTTCTTTCCTCTTACTTCTGTGAGGCCAGTACCGCTCCTGACGGACGGCTGTACTGGGTCTAGCTGGGATGGAGTTAACTTTCTTCATAGCAGCCCATATGGTGTTGTGTTTGGGATCTGTGGCTAAAGCAGTGTTGGTAGCACACTGATGTTTTGGCTATTGCTGAACAGTGCTTAACACAGGGTCAAGGCTCTCTGTTTTTCCCACTCTTCCCCCCAGCGAGTAGGCTGGGAGTAGACAAGAAGTTGAGAGGGGATACAGCTGGGACAACTGATCCAAAATGGCCAAAGGGATATTCTATGCCATATAATGTCGTGAGCTGCAATAGAAACCAGGGTAGAGGAAGAAGGGGGTTGGGGGGAGTTGGCTTCCAAGATGGCCATGCTTATGGGAGGTGGTGAGTGATTGCTTTTGCATTGGTTTTGTTGGTTTTTCCCCACCCTCACCTATTAAACTCCTTAGCTCAACCCACGAGTTCTCTCATTCTTGCTCTTCTAGTTCTCCCCCCATCCCACAAGCCTGGGGGAATGAGCGAGTGGCTGTGTAGGTGCTTGGCTGCTGGCTGGGGTCAACCCACCACAGTGGGCAAAGACATCAGGACAGGAGGGTCCTCCCAGCTGCTGGGGTCTGGCTGTGGGACCAATGTGGGCACTTCCCCTGCCACTCCATCACTATGCAGAGATCCGCGCTGGCTTTGATCTGGGAGGGATCCTTTGCCACGGGCAAGGAGATCTTGGTCCAAATGCTTCTTTTTTGTTGCAGCTGGAGTAAGTTGGCCTTCCCTCCCAGCAATGTCCAACGTTAAGTAACGGGTATGTGCCCATTACCCCAAGTTCACACCGGCGTAATGGAGCAAAATGCAATGCAAGGGAGCAGTAGATGAACAACATGAGGCTGGGCTGGATCACTGACTTCTGTCTTCTCCCCTGTGCAGATACAGCGTATCTAAATACACGTCCATAGCCCTGGTGTCCCTGGGGATCTTTACCTGCACTTTCATGTCTGCAAAGCAAGTGGTAAGGATTGGAAAGGGCCTGAGGTCATAGCTGTGAACCTATTGAGAGGAGGAGCTGCTGTCAGCACCTTCATCATTAATTCCCTTTGCCTGACTATTAATGGAGAGACAAGATGTCTCCTAGCTCTAGATCTGCTCCCCGGAAGGTCTTGTTCCTGGTCTCATGTTCCTGTGGTTTGGAGGGAAGGGACGCACACACATGCACGTGATTTAACTTAATTACAGATGCCTTTTATCCTGTGTTGTTCAGGTTGCTGTTTGCTGAGAATATACCATTATTTTTTTGCCACAGCTGGAAGCTGTTTTCTCTTGCCCTTACTGCAATGTGTTGCAGTTAGGAGCAGGTGAATCTTAAACAAAACTCAGCCATCTTAAATCTTTGCTCTTTTTATCCCAGAAGAGATAGTTGGCTTTCAGGCTAGATTTTTCTAGATCTGTTGTCATCCAGCGTGACTTTCTGTCACCCTTGAAATAAAGTGCGTGTATTTGGAGAACAGGAGGGAGTGAAGAAAATCCATGTGTAACAACACTTTGGGCTTTTCCTGGGTCAGCACCCACAGCCTGATCTTGTCAACCGAAGACAGAAAAATGGCATAAAGCGGTGGTCAAGTGAAAATTGGTTGCACTTAATCCAGCTCTGAGAGATTGGAAAGAAACAGGGCTGTCAAACCTCCAAGTCCCCCATCATTTAATAGCTATTTATACTCTTAGGGTGTCTGAGGAAGGTCTGTGCTATGCAGCCTTGCTCTGTATTAATCCAAATTAACTCTCAGCAGGCATGGGGTTTTGATATAGCATGGACAGCTGTGGCAAAGGTGAGTTATCTAATTTGCCCTAAACCACAGTGAAAGAGAGTTGAACCAAGTCATGCTACCTAGAGTTTCACCCTCGGCTAACAGCATCCGCAGGCCTGGTTTCCTCAATGTCTTGACCACAAGCCAGAGTCCTGGTTTCAGTATCTGACTGGGGCTTGGCCAGAGCCCTTCTTTTTTCCTGCACACCCACCTCTGAGATGGGGACAAAGGAGCCTGCCAATGGGCTGTCTGTGCGAGCTTTCTAAGTGGCACTGATTATTTTTGTGGTTGAAGAGTTTGGTCTCTGGCCAAGCCAGGGCATTTCTTTCAGAAAAGCTACTTTCTTGATCAGACTTTTACACTTTGGCTGGAATCTGGTGCATTCCCTGAAGCAGAGTGGAAAGCAAAGTATGCTGTAGTTGCTACCACCTCTGTTCAGCCAGGGAAGGAACTCTGGAGAATGTGAGACCTTGGACGGTCTTTGCTTTATGGGCTTGCTTGGAACACAACACAAACCGAGAGTGAGGTACAGGCAGGTCCGAATGAGCTGCAGGGACACGGTGGCTCATGGTGACTGTGTTGTGTCTCCCTCCACCAGGCATCTGACTCCAGCTTAAATGAAGAGGACGGACTCCAAGTTTTCTTGTGGTGGCTGCTAGGTATGTGAGTGCCACATCTCCAGCCGACCTTGCTGGGATGCTGGCAAGACTCGGCTCACTGATGTCCTTGGCCATGTGGGTTGCGCAAAGCAGACTCTGGTGGGAGTCCCCGCACTGAGGTTAAGTTGTGCTGAGCATCTGGTAGATGTCGATTTGCAAAGAATGGGGTTTTGTGGCACTCATTAGCAGCTTTGTGCAAGGAGATACTCTTCATTTGGCCAACAAGTTAAGTACGGCACCTAAGGGGTTTCTGCAAGGTAATGGCTTAGTGACAGAATGAGACTGCAGTCATGCATGTTTGCAGATATCCTCCTGATTTCTCTCTGCAAAAGCAGCCCTACCTGATATAGCTGATGCCGTGAGCTGTGCTGCAGAGAGGGAGGGGGGCTGTAGCTGGTTCAAGTGTTCATTCAGCACAGTATTTCATGGAGGAGTCTCTGCAGTCTGGCACTTGAGTCTATTTTTATACCTCCAACCTAGATTTACTGGTGGCTTTTCAGGGAAACTGGGATTGATGTATTGGCAATAGTGACAAACAACTGTATCCCTGGTATCCCACCAACTCTGCTTGCCAGGGCTGAGTCTCTTTTTAAAGAGATGATCTTTTCAGAAGTCTCTTGGCGTCTCAGCTTTTGTAATAAGACACCTGTGTCCTCAAGACCATTATCAATTTTCTGCCCATCTTATCAAGTCTAGATGCTTCGGCTTTTTTCACTGAAAGCCAAATCAAGGGAGCCGTCATGCTGTTTGACTTGAGCTATGCCATCCCTGAGCAGTGTTGCAAGGCTGTGCTTCTGTTCCAGGTATTGCTGCACTCACCTTCGCCCTCCTCATGTCTGCCAGGATGGGGATTTTCCAGGAGATGCTGTACAAGCAGTTTGGGAAGCACTCCAAAGAGGCCCTTTTTTACAATGTAAGCCACCATGTCTTTTCTGTTGCTTTTACTGGGCAGACAGAGCTGCTAAGAGAGTCCCTTCCCCTCCCGCCCTGTGCTCGGCCCAAATCCAAAGGATCACACGCTGCAAGGCTGGAGCGGTGAAGAGTGTGCTCTCATCCAGACGTGTGAGGCTGGTTTCCCAGGATGAGAAGCAGGGTGGGTTCGCATAATCTGTTAACATCACGTCTTTACTTGTCTCTCCAGCACGCGTTACCACTCCCTGGCTTTGTCCTCCTTGCCCCAAACATCTACCACCACGCAGTCCTCTTCAGCCAGTCCGGTGAGTGTTGCGCAGACGGACCCTTGCCCTCGTACCTTTCTGTCCTCTGGAAAATGCTGTAGGAAGCTTTCGGTCCAGCAGTTGTGCATGTCAGACTCTTTGTCTCTGGATATTCAAGCCCTTTGAATTTTCAGGTTTGATAGAAAGCCAAAAGCCAAAAAAAAACCCCACAGTGTCTTGGGGACGTTGTCCAACCTCTTCCTCATGGTAGGCCAGATGCCAGCACGCTTGGACAAGTGGTGATTGCTGACTGCTGAGAGCCTGGCCATGGGCAGCTGACCGTTCAGCTGGTGCCACGGCAGCTTGCAAAGCTAAGCCATGAGTTACTGTTTGGATCACTGTGGTTAAAACCCAAGCTTTGCACTAATGCACACGCGTACACGTGTTGGGCCCAGCCAGATTGCTCATCCATCCACCCTGAGCTATACATCTGCTTAAGTTTAATAGTAAAATTCACCAGGCTTTTCAGTGCCAGCAAGCTTCCTATATTCCGATCCCAATTTTGTGAAACTGGAGGGATCTTTGCTGAGTAGGTTTGCTGGTTCTTTAATTCCCTCTGGGTACAGAGGATATTTGCATGCGTGGAGCACTTTAATCTGTTCATTAATATCGTTGCAAAGTACTTCTAGCATGCTACACCCTCTCCAGGAAAGCATGAGATAGGTGACTCCTGGGGAAAGGAATGCGGTCGTTCAAAAACGGGGGTAACAGGACCAAATCCTCAACCACAGGTGTAAACACGGACCCGTTGGCTTTCGTTTTGCCGGTGCTATGCAGGCTTTCCCATGCTAGTGCTGTCGGCCTCTCAGAGCCACACGGTCGATTCATCCAGCTGTTACAGTAGGGCAGCCCTGACACAAGAAAGCAAGACAGAGCTTTTCTTTTAATGTCTTTTTTCCTTAGCCTACCTCTTCCTCCGTCTTCCTTTCTTCCCTATGGGAAGTCCAAGCATAAATATCTGCAAACTCTCTTGTATTTGTCCTTTATCACAGTAAGAACAAGATAACTCTGCATTTGGAACAAAATCAAAATGCGCCCACACCTCAGTCTGCCTAATGCAGCAACGACCTCCTGAAGCTGCAGCATGTCCTGGATCATGGTCAATCCTGGACAGGAGGGAGACACCTCTCCTTGCATCTTCTTTAAGCAGTAGCAGGGCAGTGACCTCGCTCTATCCTTTCTTCCCGCAGAGCTGTTCCAGGTCCCAGTGATCGGGCTGACCCTGCCAATCATGTGGTTCTACCTCCTCATGAACGTCATCACTCAGTATCCTTTCAAAGCTCAGCTTGAGACACGCCACGGAGATGGCAGTGGGGTGGGAGAGGAGGAACGGGGTGGGGTTGCCGAGTCCTTCGAGTCTTCCCTGCATTTGGGAGCTGATGTTTGTGTAACTCGGAAAATATAGAGTGGAATTTAACCCAGGGCTTACGTTTTTTCCAGGGTGGCTGAAATCTGCCACCGCCTCCCCGGGGACAGGCCGACTGGTACAAACTCACGGCAGTTTTGCTAGCCAGCTCTAGGAAGAAGGGACAGATCAGGAGCTATTTGTAATACATCAGCGTGTAGAGTCTTCCAGGCAGAGAGGAGAGGTCTGCAAGTCTGATGAAGCTGAGATGCCCTCGAGAAAGGGACCCTTCAGTCCAAGGCCCTCTTACCGTTTTCCTCTCACTGTTGAGAGAGCACTGTGCCCTGTTGCTGCTCACGCTCCTCCATGAAACCCCCTTGTTTAATCTGCCTTTCCCACGCCCCCTCAGGGAGGAAAGGAGACTTCTGCTGCGTATCAACGGAGAAGTCTGATTTTTAGCTTCCCGTGGCTCTGTGGCAGGGACTGTAAACCCTGCGCGCCATTAACCTTTTGCCAACACGTCAGCCCCAGCTGCTCTAGTGGGGTAGTTTTGCTGTCCCAGAGCAGGGTCGGGGGGAGTCTGGGAGATTTGGGGTGTCCCTGGGGTTTGTAGTGAAGCTGTTTGTAGCTGTAGAAATGCCAATCTGAGGAGAAGGGAATTTTATTCCCTCAATAACCAGACTGGGGCTATCCATTGCCCGGTCCTTTTCATTCCCGAAGGCCTGCCCAGGTGTCCTCCCTCTTCAGCCCCGCTGTCCCCTTACCTCCGCCCACCCAGATACGTCTGCATCCGAGGCGTCTTCATCCTCACCACGGAGTGCACCTCCCTCACCGTCACGCTGGTGGTGACGCTGCGCAAGTTCGTCAGCCTCATCTTCTCCATCCTCTACTTCCGCAACCCCTTCACGGCCTGGCACTGGCTGGGCACCACCTTCGTCTTCGTGGGGACTCTCATGTACACGGAGGTGTGGAACAGCCTCAGGCCCTTCCTGGCCCACTGGAGGAAGAGGCCGAAGGAGGAGTAACAGCCGGGGACTCTCTGCGGGGACCTTTTTATTGTTTTATAGAGCAGAGCAGCAGGGAATCCCCCAGAGGGGGGTTGTTTTTATGACACGGGGGAGGTGTTGGCTGTCCCAGGCTCCTGGGAACCGTGGAGCCTCCACTGGGAACCTACCTGAAATGGATCATGGAGAGACGATACGGTTATTTTTGCAAGGTTGCATTTTTTTTATGCAACCCCTTTCGCTTCCAACCTCTCCCCCTGTTTTTTTCGTTTGAATAACCCTTTTTAAGTAATGTAAAAGCTGACCCACTTCTCTGTTAGGAGCCCAACCTTGTTGTGGTGCTGTTGTCCACTCCTCCCGGCTTTGATGAGCTGGACCCTGAGCCTGTTTGGTGCCGTCCTTTAATGTCCAGGTGGTCGTAGCGGATGGCTGAGCCCCGGGGAACTGCTGTTTGTGCAGCAGGTTGTTAGTTAACACTGGAAATGCCAGGCCTGGCTGTTAACCTGAGTCCCTGTTGCCTGATCCTACCATCTGTGCTGGGAGGGTGTCGGATACACCTGTAGCTATAGAGCCCTCCAGTCTGCCCAGTAGATCCTCCACTGGGGAGTGGCCCAGGGGGCTGATTCCCAAGCCACCGAGCCCCCGTCACTAGTAGCAGGGCCTAGTTGGGAGCCTGAGGAGACCAACAAGGGGTGATGATAAGGGGACAGAAAGTGTCACCGTGTCACCTTCGCAGCCTTCTCAGGGAGATGGTGAAGTGCTGTTGAGGCTTCGCTGAGTCCTCAGATGTTGCCCTGATACTTCACCAGCCGGAGGGTATCAGGGGTTCCTCCTGCTTTGGTTAGGTCCTCAGTGCAGGTCACTTTTCAGTCGCTTCCTACTTTTTCCCTCATTACAAGCGCGTTCGGTGGGCTTCGTTACCAGCAGTCAGCTGCAACGAACTGTGCTGAGCCCCCAGCACGCCTGTGGTCCCCCCAGATCCAGCCCAACCTCAGGGTTCAAATGACGCCAAGAAACTTAAGAAGGGCCAGTACAGCTGAGCTTGTTTCTGCTGCTGGGGGCAGGGGGGGGGCTGGTTTTACTGTCCCTTCACCCAGTTCTCCTCTTCCCTTCTCCCACCCCTCAGCCATCAGCTTCGCTCGTGGCATTTCTGTGCATCATAGCAGCATCCACCTGGCGCAGGACCGGTGTCCCTTAGTGTCACCCCTCCACTGGGGCAGGGGTGGGCTGCAAGAGCTTTGGGTGTGTCCCCGTGCATGTAGGCAATGTGTGTCTCCCAGCAAGGTGAGGACCAGCAGCCACAGCTCTTCTAGGAGCTGCTCAGTGTTGGGGAGAGCAAGGGTTAGCGCGCAGCCTTGTCTTGGTCTCGGAGCAGCGGGGAGCACTTTGTGCTGCCTCAGTTTTCCTGGAGCACCTTGTCCTCATCGTCGTGATACTGTCCCTGCTCAACTGTGATAATTAAGGTATCCAGCAATGTCAACCTGATTCGCATCGAGCTTGGCCGAGTAAGGACTATACTCCGTTATTCCTCCACCCAACGTCCCGATGGCTTCCAGCCTTGGCGTTTACAACCCTTCCAGCGTTAAACCTGTGCCTGTGGTGGGTTAACCCCAGCTGGCAGCGAAGCACCGCATGGCTGCTCGCTCGCTGTCCCTCACGGTGGGACCGGGCGGGGGTGGATAGGAAGGGCAAACCCAAGAAAATTGGTGAGTAGAGATAAAGATGGTGTAACAGCAAAGGAAAGAGGAAGGGAAAAAAAAAACCCAAGTGATGGAAAGGCGACCACTCACCATCTCCCACCGTTAGACCTGTGCCCAGCCAGTCCCCGAGCAATGGCCACCTTTCCAAGACCTCCTCCCCTCAGTTTTTTTATTGCTGATTTTTGTCTGTATCAGCTGTCTTGGATACACCCCTTCCCAGCTTCTTGCCCATCCCTGGCCTAATCGTTGGTGAGGGGCAGAGTGGGGAAAAAAGGGAAAGCCTTGATGCTGTGCAAGCGCTGAAACACCGGTGTGTTGTCAACACTGTTTTAGCCACAAATGCAAAGCCCAGGACCGTACGGGCCGCTATGGAAGAAGTTAACTCCATCCCAACCAGAGCCGGTACGATGCTGACGGGACCTGCAGCTCGCTCCTTCCTGAGATGCTGCAGGGTTTTCTCTTCTGGTTTTGATTTTTCCTGAGCCTGAAAAAACCTCTTGTATTTTGAGAGTCAGACATGGGACGTTTCCAAGGATTTTGTAGATGAGGAGACTGTTCCCCAACAGCTGCCCCAGCACCTAGCGCAGGTCAGCTCTCACTTCCAGCTCTTTGCACAGGCTCCAGGAAGGACCCAGAGGGAGGCAAAACCTTTATCCCTCATCTTGACCTTCAGAGCTATTTACACGGAGCTTCAGCTGAGACAGGGAGGGAGGGGAAGGCGACACGAGTTCAGCGCGAAAGCATCGGGGACACCGGGCAACTTGGTGGGGTTCATCAAAGCTTAAAACACACCGGTGTGACACCAGGCTGAAGGCAGAAGCCGCGTTCGCGGTTGGGCAGCAGGAGCTGTAACTCCTCTTGGGCGGCCGTGGCGGTGGTTGCTGTAGGCTGGGCTGGGGATTTAGCAAAGCAACAGCTGAGCAGGCGCCGGAGTGAGTGTAACATACTGTACATAGCCTACTCGCTAGGTCGCTCTTTGTAGCAAGGAAACTGCATGTTGTCTCCAATTTCTGTGTGATGCTGGTAGGTTTGGGGCTGGTTGGGTTCCTCTTTTAACCATGCGCTGTACTTGGTCTTCACTCGAACCAGGTGTCAACGATGGGTTATTATTTGTTGTTGTCAGGGATATTTTTTTTAACTTTACAGCGTGATCTGTGTGTTTCTGAGTATTTATGATTGTTACAGCGTCGCAGAAGTGGCAGCGATTCCCTTCCTGCTGTAGGAGAGCGGGTGAGCTTGCCCGGTTGTGAGATGGAGGAAAGGTCCACGCAGAAGGCCCCTGTTAGCCAAAACTAGGATTTGAATCCAGGGCTCCCCCCCAAAATGGGGCTACTGATTTGTTTGGTTTTAATGTTTGCTGTAGAGATAATAATAGCACATATTTTTTAGCAGAGGCTGGAAAAGTGGGTGAGCCAAAATACTTTTTGATCAGTGTTCTGGGTTTGCAGAGTTTTTGGGTCGGCTGGTTGGGTTTAGGGCAGTATTTTTGTTGTTGTTTTTTTTAAAACCAAAATAAATATGTATCCTCTTCAAAGTATGTTGGTCGTCTTGTTTCTCCTTTCACGCTTTGCTGCTGGTGGTTGGAAAATTAACGGGGCTCTGAAATCAACACACAATTTCTCCTGCCTATAATATGAGAGAAGGTAGGAAAGACTCAGCCTTGCTGGGGTTTGAGGGAAAGACCCAACCATCTCCCTCCCCTGAAACCCCCAGCAGCGCTGCAGAGCCCAGCACCCAGGTGTCCTTGAATGCCAGCACCCCCAGTCCTCACCCACCACGCTGGCTGGCGTAGCCAGAGGGCTGGAGCCGCAGCTCCCCAGACGTGTCCTCTAGGGCTTGGCCGTACTGCTGAGCAAAGCCAGGCTCTCCTACCCAGAAAGCATGTGCCCGGCTGCTGTACTCCAGCCCAACGTTATCCTCTAGCTGCTGCCACGAGGTGCGAAGCTGCTTTCCTCAAATCCCACGTCCCCCTCTCCTCCTCCTCCTCCTCCTGGTTCACAGCGGCTGACGGGCGAATGCACGAGGCAAATGCAGCTAAACCAATAATGAGCTACAGGCCTGTGGCGCCGGCAGACTCACCGGGGTGGCTGTTTCCTCCCTCTCCGCAGCACTAAGCCAGGACCACCCGCCTCGTCCAGCCCTTTCAGCTGCGGTTCCTACTAAAGGGGTATTGAGCCAGGATCTGGGCTGGCGCGGGAGGTGTAGGAAAGCAAGAGAAGCGAACGGTGGTCTGGGGGAGGCTCCTCTTTAATCACACTTATAATAAATTATATCCATTAACTTGCTGCAGACGGTCTCTAATTGCACCCAGGCGGGTGAGTTGGGCAGCCGAGGTCCCCGGCAGCACCCACAGGGGTTGGGGGAACCTGGCTCGGGGCAGCAGTTTGAGCCTGAAGCAGTCGGTACTGAGGAAACCATCAGGATTTGAGGTCCCCAAGCAAGACTCAAGAGTTGGTTTAGGCTCCCAGTTTCTGGGAATCCCATCCATGCAGCACAGAGCGCCGCTTCCCTTGCCCTGGTGTTATGCCAGGAGAGGTCAAAACAGGGAACGAAGCCTCCTGGCATCAGCGCTTAACCGTTAACTCAGCTGAGCGGTCCAGCTTCCCGCGTGGGGCCTGGCTTAAAAAAAACCAAACAGAAAAAAAAGCAAGAAATGAAGTGATTACTGTGGTCTTTCCAGACCCCCGGTGACGTCTCCACCACTGCAAAAACAGCGACGTGGCGTTAAAATCCTGGCCATCACTTCACGTTTAACACACCTTTAAACCTTCCCCATCTCAGAGCTTTAATGGGCACGCTTAATTCTCCAGCAGTTACCAAGTATATATATATTTCTAATTTAACAAATCATCTTTCCCCAGACCCTGGCAGCCGTTCGTTTAATAAATCCTCATCAGCCAGGCTCCGCTTTCATCAGCTTGGAGATTTCTGTTCAAAATCTTTTGCCTTTCATTCCATTTGGGCTGGTGTTTATTAATGCTTTCAATCTTTCCTGGCACGTCACGGCCTGGCTCGCCACGGTGGGTCGGAGAGAACCAAGGGATTTTTTTTTTTTTAATTAAAGCGAAAGGGAAAGCCTTGAACTCCTTCGGGAAACGCGATGATCCTTGTCACGTTAACGCAGCTGAGCGGTCCAGCTTCCCGCGTGGGGCCTGGCTTAAAAAAAACCAAACAGAAAAAAAAGCAAGAAATGAAGTGATTACTGTGGTCTTTCCAGACCCCCGGTGACGTCTCCACCACTGCAAAAACAGCGACGTGGCGTTAAAATCCTGGCCATCACTTCACGTTTAACACACCTTTAAACCTTCCCCATCTCAGAGCTTTAATGGGCACGCTTAATTCTCCAGCAGTTACCAAGTATATATATATTTCTAATTTAACAAATCATCTTTCCCCAGACCCTGGCAGCCGTTCGTTTAATAAATCCTCATCAGCCAGGCTCCGCTTTCATCAGCTTGGAGATTTCTGTTCAAAATCTTTTGCCTTTCATTCCATTTGGGCTGGTGTTTATTAATGCTTTCAATCTTTCCTGGCACGTCACGGCCTGGCTCGCCACGGTGGGTCGGAGAGAACCAAGGGATTTTTTTTTTTTTAATTAAAGCGAAAGGGAAAGCCTTGAACTCCTTCGGGAAACGCGATGAAATCCTTGTCACTTCCAAGGTGTAAAAAACTTGTTCCCGCCACTAAATTAAATGACAGGGGCAGGAGAGGGATAAAGACGTCTCTGTAAAACACTTGGAGCCACACGGTTCATTTCTGTTCAGCGTCTTTCATTACAGCAATCATAAATCAGCAGCTGGAGCCCAAGAGGGCAAGAAGGTGAGATTTACTGACGGGGGAAATTTGGGAGGGGAAGAGCTCAGAGGATACAGAACCATTTTTTTTTTTGCCTCAGGCTCACGGGTCTCTGCTGGCACCCTTCCTTCTTCGAAAGCTCGCCAATGTTCCCTGGAGATTTTTAGTGTTTATTATTATTTTTCCACTTCCACACAGTTACAACCAGCCGGCGTTCACCTTTCGCCCTCCCTCTCTCCCTGAGCAGCTGGAAGATGGATGCACCGACCCTGCACTGACCAAAGGACCTCAGCACAGGGCAAGGGGACAGTTAATTTACCCTGTTCCAGCCTGAGAGGGAGGAGGCAGAGCAGGAGCATCGTGGTCCCATTTCCCACATAGGAGGTGCTGGGGACCGGCCAGGGACGAGGCAGGTGACACCGTCTCTGCTGGGACGACGCCTGTGGTCATGCATGCCAAGACGAGGGGTTAACCCTGCTTTGGGCCATCAGAAGGACCCTGGGTGGTGAAAGTCGCATGGGTGGAAATAACCCCCAGGCTGGTAGCTTGGTCCCCTCTTCAGAGGGCAAAAAGCAGATGCTGCCCAAAGGATGACACAGCGGTGACACTTGAAGTGCTGCAGAGAAAGTGGGCATCGCAAAGGGACCTAAAACAAGCAGAGGTGTCTTCCATCAGGCCAGGAGGGGAGGAAACAGTCCCTGGAGCATCGTTCCTGCTGTGCTGGCAGCTGCTTTGACCCTTGAGAAGAGGAAGAAATACCCCAACCCCCTCCATCAGGCAAGACTGCTGCCTTGTTGGTAGATCTCCATTCTGAGAGCCTGGAAGACACCGTGGCTCATCGAGTCCGGTCTGTCGTGAAGGTGTGCAGCCACACGCTGGCTGTGTTTCAGGTGGCCTGAGATCATACCAGCCGGGTGCAAGCACACAAAACGCAGGCACGTGGGGTGGGGAGTGCCGCATCATGCCCTGCCTCGGAGGAAGGTGGAGTGCAACGCTCCGAGTCAACTAAATGTCAAGGGGAGGAGAGGAACATGGTCCTTCATAGTCCCCCCAGTTGGCTAGTGGAAGGCCCAAAGCACGGGATTAGTGCAAGGAACACCACTCCTGGCTGCTTTTGAACGCCACGTAGTCTCCAACATGTGGGAAACCATCCTTTTCCTGCTGGAGGATTTATGATGCCACCCCATCTCTGCTCCAGGCAGGGGACTAACCGCTGTGAGCCTCTGTGCTGTTATCAGCCAGGAAGGCACCGGGGAATGGAGATGTGTGTCTCAAGAGAAGATCTCTTCTCTGGAAGGACCCTCGGCATGGGGGATTTTTCACAGTGGAGCCTTCATGCCTCTGTGATAGATATTGATTTACACCTTCGTGCTTCTACTTGCTCTGAGGTATGAGCAGGGAAAAACACGAATGATAAAAATGTAGGAGCCACCTCCGCCTCCTCCTCCTCCTCCTCCTCCTCCCCGCAGGAAAATGAAATTCAGCCTCAGCTACAAGGGTTCCTCTCCCTCCGCCTTACAGGAGGCAGAAAAAAATATCTCAGAAGCTTGAAATATTTTGTGAGGGTTACCGAAAGGGTACGTCCAAGAAGCCAGATTTAGAATCATAGACTAGTTTGGGTTGGAAGGGACCTCTAAAGGTCATCTAGTCCAACCCCCCTGCCGTGGGCAGGGACGTCTGCAACTAGAGCAGGTTGCTTTAGTGCAGAGTTTACGCAGGGTCTGCAGTGCTGAGCACCCCGGGGGCTGAGCGCCGGGGCTGCAGGGCTGACTCTGAACCAAGGGGCACTTGCTTGAGCGCCAACCCCGCAGACCATGGGGAGAAGGTATGTGACTCCAAACGCAGCTGGTGATGGAAGTAACAACTGGTAAACGGACGGGGGACCCCAAGCGGTTTGCAGGGCTGGAGTTGTTGAAGCAACGCCGTGGAAGTGCGGGGTGAGACCGAGGAAAGACCCGACGGGTCTCCTTCAAGCCCTTCACCGGCTCTCCCTTGAGTCAGGGATGCAAAGAGAAACACGGGCAGTTGGTGTAGTCACACCGAGTGGCAGATCTCCTCGCCCCCACCGCGGTAGTGTTAAAAAAAATAATAATTCATTTTGACAGCTGCCAAATTAGCAGCATATTATGCAGCATATTCAATTAGACAAGCTCCCGAGGGAGCAGGCAGAGGTAGCGGGGCAGCCAGTCGCTGCTGGGACATGACATGGCGCTTCAGGAAGGTATTTTTAGAAATGGATGTGCGTGCTCTGCAGAGAAATAAATAGCCCTTTGGTCAATACTGGCAACTATTCCCCATCTGTTTCCAGAACATGCTTAAAAAAATAAAATAAAAAGGTGTAGCTGCTGGATTCGCAGTGGTCTCACCAGCAAGTCAAGCCCCTACCAGTGGTTTCTAGCTTCTAGGGCCCATATCAGTGGGTTTAGTGGAGGAGGGAGGCAGGGAGATGAAGGTCAGAGTACCAAACCAAACCATTTTGCACCCATTTTTTAAAAATACAGCTACTAATTTGGGGAGCGGGTGCTGGGGAAGCCGAGCTGCCATGTGACTCCTGCTCTCGTCTTCTACCAAGCCTGCAGCGGGTTGCCCTGGCTGCCTACGCACTCTGTGATTGTCCATGGAGCATCTTGGCCTCCAGCACTCAATATGCTCAGCAGATTTCCAGGAGCAGCTATTTACGGACCTATTCTGCAGCCCCTGGAATTCTCCACTGAGCTGTGCATCAAACTTTTAGCTAGCAAACTTCATATCCTCTCCTCCAGGCACAGGTCTGTACTAAACACCGTCCCCTTACGTCTAACAAACCTGTCATTCCTTAGTTCAGCAGCTCCTTGTCCTGCAGCATCTGTGTTGTAACTCCTACCGCCTTGCTACTGGCCTGAGGGAGGAACCAGGATAAAACAGCTGCCCTTGACTTCCCAAAACACTTTTGCATAAGCACGGTCGCCTCTGCTTCACCCGGCATCCGAGGAGAGATGCAGGACTCCTGGGTTCTGACCCAATTCCTGTAAAAAAACTCATGAGATAACACAGATCAGTGCAATTTCTCTCTGCCTCGATTTACCGATGCGTAAAACAGGGCTACGACAGAGCACGTGTGATAAGCACGCGGCTACATCCTCCGGCTGGTAAAGCCATTTGCATTCACAAGGCAGCAACCACAGTTACCGATTTTATTGAATGTTGAATGTTTAATTTAAAAAAGGGAAATTAAACAGCTTGTTGTACTCCCCTCTGTAAAATTCAAGACTCGGAGACTTGTTTGACTATGACTAACTTAAGGTGTTACTCTGCTGTAAGCCAAACATGCTTCCTGCCAATAAAAACAGAGTTCCCTGAAACAGCCCCGCTTTTATCTGCCAGTCTATAAATATATAGGCACCAAGTCACAAGTGCTGTACTTTCAGCCAAAAATAAACGCTCCGAACTAAAAACGACGAACTGCAAAGCTTCACAATCTGCTAAATGAAATGTAAATATTACATATCGGCAATCCAACGGCACTTCTGCCTTCAAACTCGGCCAGCTGTTCCACGCTTCAGGGTGCAGTAGACAAAGGGCAGGTCAGCATAATGCGGTTGTTTTCGGGAACCTCGTGAATTGGGTTAGCAATTCGATCTGTGGTCTGCTGGGGAGCGGGAAGAGAGCAAGTGAGAGTGTATGGCAGTAAAAGTTTAGGGAGGGAAGGCAAGAAACTGAATATTTTGCTGAATTGACCAGCAAATTCAGCTTCTCCCCGGTATTTTTAAAATCCCACGTCCTACTTCCATGCAAGGCCCTTATCCCCTGGACCGCATGTGTAACCCCACTGAATGTACCACATTTGGGAATATTTGAAAGCTCAGGGCCCAAGAACCGATTGCAAAATAGGAGATTTCTCTTCAAACATTATTGTGTGATACAAATGCAAGTAAGCTAGCCAATACCCTGATCACAGCAGAACAAATGATTTCTTTTTACAACTGGGAAATAAGAGTAACATATTTATACTCCACTTGTATGCTCAGCTCTATATAATCAAAATAGAGATACAATTCCTGCACTGGAGAGCTTAACATTTAAGACTGTTCCTGTAAATACGAGTAGTTTGAATCGCTGTGCTCACTCGCTAAAGACGTACAAGGCTTTTGCAGGATTGCACACTTCAAGCGGAGGAAATTCAGCACAATTCAGGGATAACTTGTCATGTTTTGTTCTGGTTTACACAGAAGGGAGTAACCATGCCAAGGGAATTGCGGAGAGCTGGGGCTGAATGTGGAAGTGGTCTTGGCTTGGAGAACTGGGCAGGAACGGAAGCAAAAGGAAAGAGATACTGATGTGACTGGGATATCACCCAACACCCACTGCCCTTAGTTTCCAGACATATGTATGTACCCAGACTGCAATGCAGAGCCGTCTAGGAACACGGGTTTCTGCATCAGTGGCCAGGAGAAAACTGATTTATCTGCACTGACTGTACTACCTTCCTTATTTAAGCGAGGAGGTGTGATCACCCCTGGCCCTGCTGTGTATGAACCACGAGGTACCTTGTACACGTATTCATCAACCACGACACTGGCAAAACTACTGTCGCCTGTAAAACAGCAAAACCTGATACACTCATCGGCATCCATGTCAATCAACCGTGCAGCCAGCTGTAACAGCCAGGCCAACTTCTGCAAAGGTATTTATAGAGGCAAAGCGGCCGTGAAGAGCCCTGTGGGATTTGCTGAAGAAACCGTGGAGGTTGGGTAGTTATTCAGCGGCAGTCAGGTACCCACCTCACTGAGCCGCCTTGGCAAAAAACCCACTAAGGTTGAAACTGCAGCTTCGGTTGCCTGAACTCCTTCTGAACCCAGGCCACGGAGCCACCTTGCTTTTTGTTCTGCCAAAATCAATGATAAAAAACTGGTGCCTCGGAAGAGCTGTTGTTCTTCAGCTTGAGGATACAGCCAGCTGCTGTATGGAAAGGAAACTACTTAATAAAAAGCTGAGTTGTTTTACAGGCTTCACTGGAATTTAGGGTCAGGCTATCTGAATCTATCCGTTACTTACCATGAGCTGTGTTGCTTCGTTCCGTTCATCCTACTTAAACAATGAAAACTCTTGGCCACGTCGTGAACGTGCACGGTGAGGTAAAACAGAGCTCTTCCATGGACATGACTCCTCACTGTGGCAACGAGGGATATCTTCTGTGCCTGCAAAGACCTCTGAGGACCCATGCTGTAATATTAAGCAAACTCCCCTCCTCGGGGGAAGCCGCTCGGGCAAAGGGCCCCCACTATCCGTTCTACAAGGAGATGGTAATGAAAACTAATCGGGGCAAACATTAAGTTTTATTTACTTGTCAGAGCTCTGCTCCACATACAGAAAACCAAATCTTCACATACTACTTACAGCTTCAGCTGGTTCTCAATAATTCTAATATTTTTTTTTTCTGATGACTCCTTACTAGGTTGTTTAAATACACTTGCAAATCAATATACACTTGCAAATCAAAGGTTTATGTCTCATCCCTTCAAAAAAACACGTTTTAAGAAAAAAAAGACTTGGAACTAGTTTTCACTCCCAACTTAACTCTGAACATTTCACAAAATCCCTCCTCAAAATAATTCACCAGTACTACAATATAGACAATATTATCAGAGGCCCTGATGCTTCCACACCTCAATCAAATCTGTAATATAGGAGGGGAGGAAAGAGCAAAATTAATGGAAGAGAAGGTCATGTGGCTGTTAAGAAAAAATCTACACCATTTCCCAGCTGAGAGTGCCTGGGGAAATAATTTCTAGCTTTGGGAAATACAGAAATTACTTTTTAATACAGTTATAAATAAATAACTTTTCTGAGGAGAGTTAATCAGAAATGGATTTAGAAATAATATTTGATAGACTTTGCTTTGTTGAAGAGAAATATATCAAAATCAGTATTCCTGTTAGACAGAAAGATTCGGTGTAGAATCAAGATTCAAGACACAGGCTGGCTAGTAGGGGCCATCAAGGGTTGGTCCTCTTCCGCCCAGATGGGATTGGAGGTAGGACAGGTTTGGAGTGGGAGCCTGGCCAGTTGATGAGCTGAGGCACATGAGAAGAGCCAGTCTTGGACTTGCTGTATTTCGTCTGAAGATTGTCACTAGGGAGTTCAGTCTCTGCAGAAATTATAAACAAGTGAAGAAGCACTAAGAGGGTATTTATTTCAATGAAAAGTCAAAATTTACCACAAATCATATCTCCAGTGGAAAACCCAGTGTTTTGTGGGGAGGGGGAAGAGTAGTATCTTCAGGTAGTCGAGTGACTGCTCTACCTCGTACATATGGAACAGTAACTTTATGCTTAAGCAGTCACTGTTTTTAATTTCTCCAAAAGTTCATTGAGAGAAAGCTGCTGTACTGAGTATGTTGCATTCACACTGTGATGATTCTGCCACAGCGTAACATTGCTGCTTATAAGGGTGTCGTTACCAGAAGCATGAAGAAGCTTCCCTGTCACCCAAAATAAAGCTACTATCATTACAGTAAGAAAGATACACAGCTTGATCAAAACTGTTACTTTGGAATACGGTTCAAACCTTTCAATCTGTCCACTCCATTTTTAGCTCCTCTTGGATCCCGATGCTCAGCTTTGGCTTCTTCAGTGAGACGAGCATGAGGAACGGGGGTCCGAACCGACAGACCTTCACCAGCAGGTGCACCAGCTGAGATTAGAGATAGACCACTAGCAGGACCAGATTCTCTGCAGCTGAGAGGGAGAAATGATTAATGCTTTAAAATAGCAATAAAAAAAGCATATGCACCAGGTCTGACAGTATTACTGATGTTGCAGTCACACAACTCAATCAAAAGTCAGAAATAAATCCCAGTACTTACCAGTTACACAAAGCTTTTTCACACATTACAATACTCTCAAAACTTCCAGTGCTAGCAAACACAACTACTACCTCTCTCGATTTTCATTTATTGGTTTAATTAATTGCACAGACAGGTACAATAAAGCAGTTTATGCCACACAGTGAATCAGCTTCAGGTCTGGGATCAGAACTCAGAGCTCCTTGTTTCCAAATCTGTGGTTCAGCACTGCAGACGACGTTCTCTCTTGGTGAGTAAAAGAAAATAGGAATAGCCTTGAAAATAAGTGTTTCTGTAGTACCTCAGTGACAACACGGACCATGAGTAGCCATTTACCAGTGAGTAGTACCCAAGGCACCTCTGACCTGTTACGTCTCTTGCAGAAAATCTAGTCAAAGCCAAAGCCTGAGTGGTCTGAGACAATGATAACGACCATGTCGTAGCTTTTTCTGACAAAGGCTTTCCATTTCCATCTATATACTATCAATTTACTTCAAGAAAAGTAAGGAAAAGACCTTGATTGATATGGTGAGATCAATAACTACCTATTTAATACAAAAACTTAATATATATCTGGAGCAATGCTTAAGACATTTCATAATGTCTCTTTTCATACAGAAAGGACTGTTCTGATCTAGGTGAGAGAAACTGATTCATAGATTTATGAATCTGGGGGGAAGTTCTGACTTTACACATGGTGCGGGCCAAAAGAATTTCATCCTGTAATTCTTGCAAGGAACATTTTAGCTTGTGAGAATACTGTGATTACAGTGTTCTGGGGAATAGAAAGAAAGTATTTCAGTGGTATTTTAATAAATCCATACAATAAGAAGAAGGGATCATGTATAATGTGATAAAACAGTGTGGTACTCCCATAAGAAACACGTAATTATCTTCTCACTAGATGTACTGTGGAAGTCTATGAGAATTTTGCCATTGCCTTCAAGGTAAAGGAATATTATATCCTGTAATGTACTGAGTGCTTGCGTCTTCCTCTGAGGTCCACTGCATCCAAGGATGCTCATCAAACACTAAATGCTCTAGCCAAGTGCCTAGTCGTAATCTCATTTTAGCTGCCTGTAATACGCATCAGACATAACTACGATAGGGATAAGAAATTACTAGGAGTAGTAAATCCAGGCTCAGTATAAACAGCAGCTTGAACTCTTCAACAACATCTATTCCAATTTCTAAAAGGCTGACTACTTCTGCTTTTGCTTCAGAGAACATAGTCACACATTTACCTACAAATAAAGGCTAAAAATAGATATCATATAGTTAGAATTAACCCCCTGTGGATCTCTAGCCACAACTACATGAATGCACTGTGTTAAAATCCAGCATCCTAAGGTGTTCAACGAAAATCTTCATTGCCTTTCTCCCCAGCTGTCCCTTTCTTAAAGGGCAGAAGACAAGGTAAACTGTGGGAAATAATTTACATACCACCTGGCAGGGTGTAAAGGGAAGGCAGGTACCCAGGCTTTTCTATGACAGGAGTCGTAGGAAACATTTAATTTAATTAAGGTTTCTTGTAGAATTACTCTATGAAAATAACATCAAAAACAAGTGGGAAAACTAAAGCTTATGAGGTCTCTGCCATCTAGATGTCCAAGGTATTTGGGACGGGTGGGGCAGAGGAGCTGAGAACCTACCTCTCCTTTGTGCTTTTGCCAGGTGACCTGTAAATGAGTTTGGATAACCTATCTTTTGTCCTTCCCTGACAGCCTCAGCACAGAAAAGAGAACTATTAAAGGTGAAGCAGGCATGTGTTCCCTCTAGTAACATTTCCCAGTCAGCTAAATGGAAAAGAAATGAAAAATAGGAAGCTTAAAAAAAAAAAAAACAGTATTACCCCATGGGAGTAAGGAGATAAATGGATTCTGTGTGTACTAAATACAAAATATGTTAGTAATGAGTTGAGGAGTAAAGCACTGGACTGCTATAGATTCTGTTTAGATTATGGTTGCACTAGACTGCCAAACCCTAACATATATCATTGCACATGATGTCATGATATTTCGGTTGATGGGTATTTTTCATTTGATTGTGTTTGGCAGGAATGGGGACGTGCAATTAAATATTTGAGACAGTTCCTTGTTAAATGCACTGGTCAATGGTAGGTGAGGTTCTGGATCCACCCTCAAACTTGCAAATAATGAAGGTATAGTAACAGATTAAGAAATTAAGTTTCTACTCTCCAACTCACTATATTTTGCCCCTCTTCTCTTCTCCTCTCCTTGTTAGACTGTAACCAGATCATTTCAATATCCTTACAAACACCTCTACTGGTGAAAGTGAGTAATGAAATACAGCAGACAGGGACCTAAACAATTTATCATTGCCTGTGGTGAGTAGCAGTCCTTTAAAGTACAGTTGTAAGATATATTGCCCTAAAGGACTGCTACTCACCAAAGGCAATGATAAATCGTTTAAGCCTATGAGTGAGAACAAATGGAACCTCAGGGGAAAAAAAGAAAATCCACACTTTCATGTGTGGGAGAGTTCAGCCTCCAGCAGAGGACTTCAAAAATCCCTGGAAACTGGCATGGTGTTTTCTTTTGTGAAATCAGGAAAGACTAGGTCATCGTACTTTACTTCCAAGGAGAAGACCATAGTTATGGTCTTAGCAATGAAAAGAAGCCATGGATGTAACTAGAAACTGTCCTGCTGAAAACTGCAGGTCAGTGGGCAGACAGCTAAACAAAACCTTTAATATTGACTCTTGAGTAAGTGCCGTCAGGATCATCTATTTTACTTGTAGACATGAAGTAACAGAACAACTGCAGGACTTGAATCCAACAAGTGTTAGCGACCGAAGAATAATGACGCTGTTTCCACCACAGCTCAAGCTTAAATAAAAACTGCCAGATTTGAGAAATAATGCAAAAAATTTGGGACCTGGACACAGTGTTGCCCAGTGAGATATCAGACTAATCTGCAGTCCCTGGTCTTGGAAAACAGTATTTCCTTCATTGGCTGTGCCTGGAGGTCAACACATCGATGCTCTTACCCCTTGATGGCTTTTTTTAGTTTACTCTTTCTTCCATTCCAAACACTGAAAGCATAAAATTGGAGAGAGAGAAAAAGAAAATATTAAACCACCTCAATATTCAAACAAAATCACTACAGGCTTTACTACAATACTTCAGAAATGTGGGATTTTTCTCACTAATATTTCAAATGCATCTACACAACAGCATTTCCATCAATCACGCCTATAAGCAAATTTCTTGCAAACTTTCCATATTTCCCTTGCAAAAGGGTTTGACAACATGACTCTATACAATTTTGCTGTAGGCCATGATGCATGCACAGAAAATTAATCAGATTAGCAGTTTGCTTTTTCTCTCTTCACAGTTGTTTTTCCACTGTGTTATTAACAGTGCTAAATGAAAACACTGCTAAAGTCAAAACACCAAAATGTGGTGGAGTGGAAAGACATATTTATTCCCATATGCGAATGGTAAGACCTTTACAACTCATCATAGCTTCACACTCATTTGAGTTATAGGTCTTGCCTCTTACTGGTAAGGACAGATGATGCATAATCCCTCTGCAACCTATTACGCACTCAGTTTCTCTCATACGCTCACTCTGTTCCCCTTCAGCACACTCCACTGTGGCACAAATACTCAGGACAAATGAATCTGCAGAGGCCTACAGTTTCAACCTTTTTACAGCATGCTAATTAACTACTTGTAATTACAGTGGCAGGTAGTACATCACATAGAGGGAACTGGCAGTCTCTCTAGGATATAAAAGGAACACAGATTTTTTTCAACAGAAAGTTTAGCTAAGAATTCTGCTTAACAGATGAGGAATAAAGTGAATGGGTTGAAAACGTATAAAGATGCTCAGCGTTTCTCATCGGTCTGACTTAATGTGAAAAGCTGCCTAATGTGTGTTCAGGAGGCTATTTAACAGTGATTTTTAAAAGATGTGAAAACACACAGGTGAAAAATACATGGTATGGTATGTTTAAATATAGCAGGAAAGGTGCCTTGGTTTGTATGGAATAAGAACAAGATATCAGACATGGGATTGAACCCACGATCAAATTCAAGTTTACCAACAGCCATGTGGCATAGACATCAGCTCACCCTAAGTTGCAGCTTTCAGGTGAGCTTTGTGGTGGGTTCCGAAGAGTGAGCAGAGCATGGCTACAAGCACACACCTATTTCCTAGTGTGGATGAGGGATCTGGCGTGTTATGCTTCACTAGGTCACGCTGTGTGGCATCCGGCTGCTTCTGTGTATCCCATCTGGGCATGAGATTACAACAGATGGCCAGAAGAGGGGAAAAAAATAAAAGCTTATCCAAGATACTGCATAGAAAGGCCGCAATGTCACTTGCCACAACAGCAGACAGGCTTGTTGGCAGCCAGAGCTCAGATGTACTTATGGAACAGGACCATTAGAGTAAGTCACAGCCATCTTGTGAGAGGCAATGTGGACCCGCAGAGCAAGTCAGGAAAATATAGCCCGCTTCGTAGCTGAAGGCCTAAAAGACACTGAAGATGTAGCCTCTTTAAATCTTCTTCTATCGTCACCTCTCTGCAAGCTTTAAATGAGATAAGAGTTGTTTCCCTCCCATAGCTCAGAGCCTGTTTAGCTGTGGAACTTATAAATGAGGATGTTCATCACTCACGAGCAGAGATGCTGGACAGGATATGAAGCATAGCAGCAATGGCTGAGATAGTAAGAGAAGGTAAAGGTACTACAGAGCTCAGTATCCTGATGGGGCCTGCTGTTATCATGGATGAGATATGAATTTGAAGATCATGATATCACCCGAGCTTCTCAAATGGTATTCAACAGTAACTATGGTAATCCTCTAAAGAGAGAATGAGAAATAATTTTGTTAGCCATATCTGGTAAATTTGTCTAAAAAAAATATTTATCACTCAAGTTCTGTTTTTCTATACCTGGATCAAGTTTCTTTCAGCATCTTTTTCCCTTCAAACATCCTCTTGATAGAAAGCTCTTGAAATTCCCTTTCTGTGTATGTGAATTATGGTGTCTAAATGAAACCATTCCCATGAATGACAAGACTTTGTTTTATGCTGCAGCGACACGTGTTTAATAAGGCTGTTGATGTAACAGATGAGACAACTGCATTAGCTTAGGAAACGGTTTTAGATCTTGCACATTGCAGCATTAACCTTCATTGCACCCAGCGATGATCTGCTGTCTCAGAAACTGAACTCACCGGCTCTCTGTCAGGGGGAAGCTCTGGTCTTGGGTGACATTCCTTCCATCTGAGAGCAGAGAAGTGTTTATTGTTGGTTCCAGTAATTGTTGACGGGAGCTGCTCGGTGCCGGAGTGACTGCCAGGTCCCTAAAATGTTACAGAAAGAAAATAAAGTTCTTTTTACATGCACTTATATACTGTGATAGCATAATCAGTGCTTAGCGAGTTCACAAGACCTGTTCAGATGGAAAGGAGCGTTATCTCCAGTGGGAGAGAAGCAGCAATAAGCAGTTGGGGGTAGTAATCCAGGCTCTGTTTATAGCCAATAGAGAGGAACAGTCACAGCTACAGTATGAATAAACTCAAGTTTAAGTAGATATCTAAAGCAGGTTGGATGAATCACTCTCCACTGAGACAGAGCAATGTAGGGCAACTTGTTCAGATAGAGACATTTTTTATTAAAGACACCCAAAATCGGGTGAGATTAATCCCACCCCTTGTGACCAACTCACAAGGTGAGAAGTTTCATCTTCACTGCCATGCATAACACCCAAAAAAAAAGCATTCCTGGTAAGTGCAGTATTAATTATATTTATTGCACTTTATTTATAGATTCAAACCACAGAGCTAAAACCAAAGAGATGCAGCACTGAAGACTGCCAAACATGAAAGGTCCTTAATGAAATGCTGAACTTAAAATTATAATTCTTGGAAGACTCCATACATCTACCCCCTGGTACCAGAGCCATCCCACTGACACACCTCAACTGAACTCTGAAGGAATCTTTTTATTTTTAAGAACAATGAGCCTATGTAACCTTTGTGTGTGCCATTTTCTAGTTTCCCTAGGAAGCTAGTCAAGAACATTTTTAACTGCAGTAGCAACTGCTGAATGCTTGCTCCATGGGAGAAGCTAGGTTTTTAAGGAGGGTTAATATCTTTTCTGAAGACTTATTGCTACAGTTTGGAAAAAAAAAACAAACTGTTAAGTTCTTCATCAAGTCCTCAATCATGCCCATAAGGCCATTAAGGCAATAAGTATACCACTGCCACTTCCCCACAGGAAACAGAGAGGCTGGAATCTCAAACTGTCTTTTCACGCCTCCTCGTCTTGCCAAAGCAGGACTGTTCCCCCCTGTGGGTCTTCTGGTGCTTCAGTGATGAGGCTTTCCCCACTCCTCCTCAGAAATCAGTCCCTAGCCCAATACACTGTGCATGGCAAGCAAGGTTTTTCTACTCTTCGTCTTTAAATTTCCCGTTCCTTAGTTTCTTCTTATTATTAATATCTATAAATAAAGCTTCCCTAGTGTAAGGCCTCAAGCTGTTATTGTTTCACTGTCAAGCAACCGCCGGCTGGTAATGGTGTTTGCTTGTTATCAGCTCAGATCAAAATCTGACCAATTACATAGCAGAAAGGGCCTGATTCCATTAATGGCCCCCAGAGCTGAGCGCTCTCAGAAATCATTTCTTGTAAATCCACATCATGGGGGAAAAAAAAAAAGTTAAAAAAAAAAGAAGAAAAGAAAATCTCTCAGCAAAGAACTCTGTTCAATATATAGCACAGAAATACACAGCCTGACAATGGAGGTTATAAGAGTCAAAGCAGAAATCCGAAGACAGGATTCAAGGCCACCCCTCTGAGGACTGGGTCACCACAGGAAAATGAACTCTACTTCCCGGAGCAAAGGTTTGGATTCAGAACCTGCAACCCACTCTCAGAAGCTACATCTCAGTTGATAAATAAACTTAAAACAACACGCCTGACAGCTAAGAAAAATACGCATATTTAAAGGTGTTATAGGGATGGTTTTTTACCTTCTATCTCTGCACTAAATGTCTTCTTTACATTGCCTCTCAGTTTTGTACTGTCATTATAGGTGTTCAGGCTCAGAGTGTAATTCAAATTGCACCAGGATGCCTCAGCTCAAACAAAAAAAAAAAAAGGAAAACAGGCTGGAGAAGTTAAATAGCACCCTGTGAAAAGGCATATCCGTGCAGTTCAGAGCAATGTCCTGGTTTTGTCATTAAGAGGGGCATAGAAATAAAACTGAAAAGCAAAATTAGATCGAAGTCAGAGGTTGACTAGACAAAAGAGGGTCTGCAAGAAATGTATGCAACCACATGCATGCAAATCTTATGTTCACAGCAAGCAAATCCAACCTGAAGAGAGTGTCTCAACCACAGGTAGGCCATGGACCTTCTCTCTTCCCAGTTCTGGCAAGGAACTCCAGTGAAACTGTAACGTGTACGAATTTCTTCCAACTCAGAAAAGCAAGACTGCATGTTATAAATTCTCCTCTTGGTGATGCCTGCTCTTGCTTACTCCAGTTCTTTCAGCAACATTTAGATGAAATCAAGAAGTTAATCATTAGCTAAAGGCCTGAGACTTCAACCCAACCCCTTATTTATTACCCTCAAACACACAGACAACTAGTGAAATTATTCAGAGCAAAGCACCAAACGTTGCCCGTACATTATATTAGGCAATGAGACATCAAAATGACTTTAATTACACCTGCACACAGCCACAGGCAAAAAATAAAGAGGCCAGGTTTTCAGTAATTTGGATTTAAGAATCTAAATTTATGTAGAGAACCCTGTGGGGTTGCAATAAATAAAATAGGTTAGATTCTTGTGTGACATCACTTTTAAAATTTTCTAACACATACTCAGGAAAATTGAGCAATATATTTCAGTTTGGATTAAAATATGTAATGATGAGATTAAGCATTAAAGAATCTTTTAATATTTACAGATACACAAGAAATTAAAAACTTTTAGTACCTTAAGAACTTTTTTGCATATATCATTTCTGGCATCAGTTTCATATATTTCATAGAATTTCATAGAAATCACTCCTAACTGAAGTAGGATTCTCATTCTCTGCAGCAGTGCTGCTTAAAAGCAAGCTGAGCTGCCTCTGCCCTCTACCATGTCTGGTCCACAGCCACCTATTTACACTCCCAGTCCTCTCTCAGCACGATGCCAGCACAACTGGTGCTTTAGAGAGTGAGGGAAATTGATCTGGCTGAAAAAACAACCTTTTTGTTTGGCAAAACCCCATCTGTACCTTTATCCAATTCATCACTGAGCTGTGTGACATCGGAGCCGGTGGCAGCACGGAGTGGGCAGTGGAAGGAAAGGAAGGGGCAGGAGTGCATGAGCCAGCATTGCCACTGAAGAAATACTAAAGTTACTGAATTCTTCCTCATTGCATGACAAAAATGTCTGGACACAAAAAAAGTCTACTTTGCACCGATAGCCCTTTGCAACCACAGAAATCAGGATACAAACAAAACACGGCTTTAACGAAGCTACTCAGTTTATACAATTAAAATCTAGTCCAACAGCTGAAAAAAAATCTTCAGTTCAAACAAGACATTGTAGAAACTTCTAGCTAATCATATTGGTATTTCTATGTGCTAATCAATTACCTGCATATTTCACAAATTTGTTCTTTTTAAATTATAATCACTTACTTTTTGAAGTGCTTGTCTTATTTTGCGTCAGGTTACCTGCAATGCCCTCAGAACAAAGTTTCATTTGATATCAACTCCATCCAGCATGGCAAGCATGGACCTTCCTTTTGTATTTCCCAATACAATTTGAAATTAATCCGCTTTAATGAACTTCCTTCTCTCTATCTGCCCCACTTTGCTCCAAGATGTCATCTCCCCAGGGGTAGAACAGACAGAACAAAATGCATGCTTGCTTCTCCCAGTCACAAGTCCATACCTTCAGTCAATTCAAACTCCACTGGAAGGTCGGGGCAAAAATGAGGCTTTACATAGGAGTAACTGAAGCAGGGGTGCATATTCTTTACTCTTCACTCCTCTAGAGGAGCAGTATTCCCCAGCGAGGAGTGCTATGGCAGCAAGCTTACTCCCTCAAGATTCATCAGCTGAAACCCTGTATAAGGCTGGATGCGTTACCAGTGAAAGAAATCATATTTTTACATAAACAGCAGACTGATTAAGTGGGCAAAGTACATTTATGCACTGCTGCTGCTGATGAAAATAAAGAAAAGGTGTATCATGTTCTAAATAAAAATTCATCAGAATAAAGCTGATAAGATTAAAGCAAGAATAGACAGCAAGAGTTTTTTAAAACTGGATTTTAAACAGGCATGAGCTTTCCTATTTATGTAGCCAAGTAAAAAGAGAAATAGAGACCTCCAAATAAAATACAGCTTGAAAGAAAATAACTTAAAACATGGATATTCCATAGGAGAGAGAAATCTGGGAAGCACTAAAGCTGAGATGGGTCTAGACATAACAATGAGACGAGATGTTGAACCTGGATATCTAATGCAATAATGGCTGCACGAAAAGATCGGTGTAATTTTAGAGCAACATATGCAGAGACAATGAAGTATGGTGCCTCAGATGCAGGCTATAGTGTCTTCTTTGCCAGCACTTGTAGGGACACTTGAAATACTTTGAACTGATCAATTTTGAGAGTTAATTAACAAATTAGAGAGACTTGATAGTAACCCTACTGAATTTACTAAGCATAGACTTACAGAGAAAGATGAAAAGACATTACAATATATATAGTTTAAGTAACAACCATGGAAAGGTATAAAACAAGATAACAGTCTAACTACCCCAAAATTATCTGGCTGCTGCTGCTAATATTACTACGAATAAACACATAATGAATTACCTTGTGTCATCTCAGTCACACAATCTGTGTACAAATTCCTTGCTCAGCCCTTGATAAAAGCTAAAGAAAGCCACATCACCTTGCATTTCCTATAGGCTAAGAGTGTGCACAAAGATGGTTACCACAGCTAAGATGACATGCAATAACCTTTTAAGCTACTCATCACCCAGGTCCATAGTTATATATTGAAAGAAAGATCCAACAAACCCTAGGTGAGCTTTTCCAGGGTGAAAGCCCCTCCTTTATGGGTATTTAAAACTTGATTCAATTCTGTATAAACAAACATGCTTAATAGAACAACCATACACCTGCTGCTGGACTGGGCTACATGACCTACCGGGTTCTCCGCTATCTAATTGCTACATTCCAGGATTCAGATTTTCTCTCAGAATTTCAACCATTTTATAGCATTCATATTTATGGCACCTCTTGACTTAACCTCTTGCATGGAATGGGGTGTTGTCTACTCTTGCCTCCAATTCTGCTGAGCGCATCTATCCCTTGAGGCCTGGTAATTGCAAGTGCTGATTGGGGGTGACAGGATTTTCTCTCACCTGCCTGACAGCTCTGCCAAAGCAGGCTGATACTTAACTCCACAACCAGCTTCCAGTGAAAGAGTATCGTGGAATAAAGGGAGCAAAGAGCAACAAACTAAGGCAGACTCAGATGAACAGTTCACACTGCAACACTAAATCAAACCCAAAACATCTAGCAAAAGAGAACACTGATTTCCACTTTTCTCATTTCAACATAATTTAAAATGAATGAATCAGCTACTTAAAAAACCTTTTCTCTAAGTAAAGATTTGGAAAATGCATCATAATTATGCATCTCTGCCTGTAAGCTTCTGCCACTGGTTTTCTAGAGACAGTTTAATTCAGTAGGGTTTTTTTTTTCCTTCCTTCTTTTTTTTTTTTTTTTTTTAAATAATCCATCTCCAGACTTTGTCATTGGAATGATTTTCATCGGCACATCTGGTATGTACAATTGGTGACTGCATTTGTACAGGCCTGAAATGAGCTGAAAGGTGTGAACTTTTCTACTCGTTCTGATGATTGCTGATTTACAGGCCTATGGGATACTTTAAATGTCAACACTGTGTGCCTTTTCATGGCAGGTAGGAAAAGCAAGCAAAGAAGAATTCAGATTAGGAAGATTTACACCAGGGGAAGGCAGGAATGTCACAAAAGATCAATCAAAGAAGTACATTGAGATTTATAGACTTTTAACACCATTTTTGCAGGGCTGCGACTATAAGGAAAAAGGAAGAGAGACAGTCAAGACAGTATCCATTTTCTAAAAAAAAAAAAAAAAATTAAAAAAAAAATTAGGAAGTGGAGTCAGCTTTCAGAAATTCTGCTTCAATCAGAGATCTCCACAGATGTACTGCAACAACAACCTTGCGCTGAGCACGGCTGTGACTTTCCAACACCAATTACTAATAGTGCTAAAAACATGCTGGAGACTGTGAGCTGCCAGAAAAATGATCCTTTTCTGCTCTCTCAGAGAAGAAGCATATAATAATTTCATAGTTTTAGACAAGTTACTTGTGGATGGCTCTGCCTCATGCATTTTCAGTATACATTTCAGGACTGCTGCACTCCCAAGTCAAAAGACAGGCAGTGTGTATTTGTAGGGCTAGATTTAAAAGTGATAGAAAGGAGAGTTGTCTATGAGATTTGCAATCCCTGACAGTTTCTAATCATTCATCCTTAACAGCAATGGAGAAGAAATCTTAAACAGGCATTTTTCACTTTATTGCAAAGGACTTGGCTGAAACCACTCTACCTTACCTTTGAAACAGCTGGACATATGCACTAGGTGCCTTCCCTGACAGAGCCTGACGTGCTGCAGAACGCCGCCTTTGGAGAGAAGCTTCTTCCTGATAAAGAAATATGACCAACTTTATACAGCAACTTAAAAGTATATATGGAAACTTAATTGGCTGCGATATTCTTCTCTTTTGCTAAGAGTCTAGAGTGTATGCATTTATATATTCTGGGAAAATAGCAGAGCTATATTATAACTAACAAGGTGCTAAATATGATTCACCTTTCTACACAAACCAAATTTTGGTCTGAAATCTTGCTGGCTTTGAAAAATGAAGATCTTCATCTCCAGTGAAGCTCCATTTCTTCATAGTAGTCAAAATGTGCCAGGATGTTGCAGGAAGGAATATCTGCAGAGAACCACTTTTGATGCATCCCAACCTCCCAATATGTTAGAGCAGGGATAATTCTAGCTATGCTGTTGTCTTAAGCTTCTTTTCACCAGCAAGGGGCTGAATACAGAAGAATTTGCCTCTGCTACATCTTAAATACACTGTCTCTTTGCTCCAGTAATGCAGAAAACCTGCCTTACCAACTCTATATCAACCAATATTCCCCCCTCAAAGAAGGAATTACCTTTTGCAAATTTCAGTTAGTTAAAATGACTTTGTACAATGAACACATTATGATCTCAGCAGACTGGAAAATGTGCTCCCAAGTTTTAAGGGCGTGTTAATTAACATGTGCTGTAGGACAATGTAATTTCTCAGGTCAGACAAACGCAGCACTACAGTGGGCTTAGAAAAATAAAATGTAAATCACAGAGCAAAGTTATTAAATCCTGAATTGTTATCAGCTGATAGCCATTGATAGTTATCAATTTAATAGCTAAATCACATGTCTGTAATAGAGGTGTTTTGTCATGGTATGAGCAATGAAAGAGAATATAGTTAATCTGCTGAATGCTCACATTATGACTATTGTAAATTCCTTCACTTTCCTGCACTGTTTACACTAAGTAAGGCTCTGCTTAGATGCTCACTGAGCTTGTGTTTTGTTTTGCTTTCTTTTGGTAAAGATATAATTCTGACCCTTTTTTCTGTGTGGGTTACAGGTATAGATACCTTTCTGTTCATACCTTGTATAGTTAATTACAGCCATACAAAATTAGCGCAGGGTTGGCATGCTCACAAGGGATAAGGCTGCAAGGAATCAGATCTACTGTCTTCTCCTGAGCAGCAGATCCTGCTTCTTATTTTGCTTGTGGAGAATTCACATGAATTTCTCCATCTGTTTTATTTTCCAGTTCTACATGATGGGAGTGGAATGTGGTTACTGCAGTGACAGCACATTATTTGGGTGCCAAAAGCACAAAAATCATTTGCAGTCCCAAATGTAACAGTTTAGACAAAATTTTACTTTAAGGCCACAGACATATTTATATTCTTCTCATTAAATAAGCTCTAAGAGGCACCTGTGTTTCATCTTGAAGGTTTTACTACGCTGACACTTCAGCTGACGCTGTAAAGCTTTCTCTGCATTTAAAAATATATTGGAAACTTAGCGTAGTAAATAACGAAAAGGTATTACCAGCACTGAACAAGGAGACTAAAAAGAAAGAGAGCCTTACGGCCACTAAGTAAGTTAAACCCAAGGTAAGTGATAGCCTCCTCCATCATAAACCACTTCTCCCTGACTTGACAAAATGTAAACTTTCAAAATAAAAATAAAAAAGATGAAATAAAAAGTGAGACAAATAAATTGCTGGGGTAGGAGTGATGGCAGAGTGCCACTAAGGTAAGAAATATTCTGGCTTCTCTCTCACATTAAACTAACAAACCTTTGGATGAAAGGAACATGAAAATAAACAAAGCTTGTGACATTTTTTTAATTCTGCATGGCTTGAAAGAGGTATTTCATTTCAGAAGACTGAAAGATGGGGGGTTCCCTATTTATGTCAGCCATTTGACAGTCATACCTTTCTCCAAACCTAAGAGAGCGTTTTTTAAAGCCTGGGAAACGGGGGCAGGGGGGCTCTGTTACTTTGCTCCATCTACAGCACTAATTCTAAACACCAGAGGTAGTTATAAATACAGAGATAGTGGCAAAATTGTACAGCAAGTCATGCCTGCCAAGCCATCATTCATCATAATGACATCATCACCCTGGAATGGAACAAAGTTTAAAGCTTTCATTTTTCTTTTTCTCTTTCTCCTGTCGTTGTCGTATAAAAAGAGCATTAGACACATCTGCTTCATAGCCCCAACTCCCCCACTGCCTGCAAGGAGAATGAATGCCTTTAGGGAAAGGACTATTAAGGAGAAGTAAAAAAAGAAAGAGAGATGAAGCTGAAGTTGCAAAAGGTTATTTGAAATCCAAGCACATTGTTGAATCTGTTGATTGAAAAAGTAAAAGCAGGTGAAAAATGTGCTTAAATTTCATCTCTGGCAGTTATCACTAGCATACATGCTGAAAGGCTCGGCTGAACGAGTTTTTCCACTGCCACAGGATGGCGTTCATAAGTAACCTTCATTGTCCTATTAACTGCATCTAACTATTTCCTCTGAATAGGATAGTTTCATATGTTGTGGTAGAACTGAAAGATGATATTCAGCTCCCTTACACCAGTACGCAATTGGATGAAATCAATTACGATCAACAGATTTATTCTGGTGTAAAATCGAGCAGAAACGACACCTTGTCCTCTCATCTGAATTTACTTGCCTCATTCTCATCAATCTGCCTTTAACTCTGGGGAACTGGTAAATATTGTTGAAATGAAAGACGGCCAGAGAACAGGTGTCAATTTTCTCTGGAGATAGAAAGGTCTGACTAACGTATTTTTTGCATACAACTTATCATTTCTGTCTAAGGTTAGAGTAGATGCTGCTTACCACAGAGCCCAGTTGTGCAGCAAGTTTGTCCGAGATACCTCCTGGATAGTTTTTGGCAGAAGAGTCCAAGGACTCATTGACAGATGAAGACCGAGTAGCTCCAGTAATTACTCCACTGGGTGACAATCTTTGCTCTTGTAAGAGCCGTATTCTTGAACCTAGTATGGAAAAGACACTTCTCAACAGAAATATTCTGAACATCACTTTGCTTACAGCAAGCAGAAAGAAACTAGTAATTTGCAACTATCATCAGCTGGCTTTTGGCACAATTCTGGATTCGCAAAAGATAACTCTGAAAGTTATAAAGGATATAAACTACACAGTTCCCAAAAAGCTTTTAAACCTTCCAAGTACTTCACAGATACAACAAATTTATCCCCCCTGAATAGTGAGGCAAATGAAAGTTATGAAAAATCTAAAAAAACCACCCCTACATTAATGGACTAGGAAGAGGTGCTTAACCGTGTGTAAATGAGCTCATTTTGTTAGGGATGCTCTGATATGCACCACTGTTATGACCTCTAAGCTAATTACAGTCTACCTGCTTGAAGTTTTAACCTTCTCAGAGCTCTTAGAATGTGATGGGGAGTTGGAGCGGGGCACCTTTTCTTCTGTTATTTATCTGAATTTCTGTGAACAGAAATCCAAAGACTTGCACCACTGCTGCATTGCAAGGAATCAAACAGGACCGTAAGCCAGAAAGCTGAAGACACAACTAAACTTGCTTTTTCCAAAAACATTTTTTTCAAATTTGACAAAATCTGTAAACTGGGATTTATCCTGTCTATAAAATGGTATCTAAATATGAAATTAAGTCACAGGAAAATTCTTATAAATATTGGTACATGGCAGTCTTTGCAGAAATCCAATCATAAGAAAGGTTTAATTGTATTGTGTGTCACATCAAAGCACAAGAGCTCATAACCTAAGGAGTCACACACAAAGATGGTAGATGAAAGGCAAAGAGACATCCCATCCATATGCATGTCCATATACTAAATATCATTATTTTTCTTAGTTTCTGCTTTTATAAAAAAGTTTCAACAGTCATCGGATGACTCTCAGCATAGCCATTGTATACTGCTGGTTTGTAGCTGCCAGAAGATCTGGTGGTAAGAACAGAGGACATGAGACTTGAGATTGGTGGGTTCTGTTTCAGGCACAGTAAACTACTCACCTTGACACTAAGTATAGACCCTAAACTTCAGAGGTGCAGAGCTTCACACTGTCAAAACTTCAGTGGGATTTCTGGTGCCCACCATCACAAATAATCAGTCTTTGACATAAATGTCCCTTTCCTCATTTGTAAAATACAAATAGTACCACACACTCCACAGGACTGCTGCGAGATATAATTAATAGTTGTAAAGTACTGAGTTCCGTGGATGAAAGCTGCTAATGCAAGTACAAAGCATTATCAGCTCTGAAATGTATTATACTTCTGCTATAAAAAGTTTTTAAAAAGAACTTGTCTATTTTCTCCCAGTATTTTCTCTATACATGAGCAAAAGATCTTGCACAGCAGTTCATTAAAAAAAGAATTAACAACCTATCATAATCTCACACAACCAATCTTCCCACTGCTACTATCTTACTAAAAATGTCCATATTAAAGTTAACCTTGGGGCAAGTTTTTTAAAATAAATTATTTCACGCAGTCCATAAGAAGAGCTGATCTCTAGAAATAGGGTAGTTAAATTTATTTAAATACCTATAAATGAAGCTTTAAATGAATTTAATGGTGCATAGTAAATTTAAAAGTTACTTTATGGACAGCAGAATTACCAAAATCTAGTACTATTAATGAAGTTTCTGTAACTAGTGACAAGTCACTCACTGAAAGAACTCAGAACTGCTGAGGAATACAAAGTCCTTTAAAGGAACTTCAGATATATACGTATATATCTTCAAAAATACCATGATTATATAAAAATCTTTTATCTTTAATCCTCCTCCTTGTTCTTCTTTCCTGATAATCTAGTTAGGATTTGGTGGGTTTTGTTGCCTCTCAGGACAAAGATTTCAGACATTTTTGCCCTCCCTTCAGCTACTTTTATTTGCAGCCTTCTGAGCCACACAGAAGGTCATGAATATTGGCTCTGTGTTACTTAGGAAACTCATTAACCCTCCTGTTGCAATGGATCTAACCAAGACAGCCATAAACCACGGAAGCTCTTGGAGTTAGAGGAAAGAATTCACATAAATGAGCTTATTGTTAGTCCGTGTTGTGCAACATCTTACTACCATAATGTCTATTTCTTATCTCTTTTTCTCCAGTACTTTAGAGATCATATTCTGCTTTCATCCCAGCTGGTAACCTGCCCTGTCTGGAATAAATTCAAGGGTTACAGCTGAGTTCTCACAATATGTTAAGCTAATCTTAGTTATGCTGCCTCTGACAAGAGTAGTCCTCCTTTCTTCCTTCACAGGCAGCCATGAAGGTCTTCTCCCTACCCTTCCCTCTTGAGCCAATTCTATAGCTGCATGATGAGTTTGATTGAGGACTCGATCTGTCTGAAAGTTGGTGAGTTTTTTTCCTAGGTTAGTTTTTGGATGGAACCATTCCCTGGTCCAGATTACAAATAACTGCACAATCAGAAGAATGAGAGCAACGAGCAGACTAGAAATGCATTGGCAGGAGCGGTAAGTTGGGCATGACCCCTTTTTGCAACAGCATGCACTTGGATTAGCTGGAAGCGATCATGAAGCTCCAGCCGTAGTCATTCAAGGGCTAAAAGGCTTCTGTTAAACACACTACCAATCATTTGGGTTTACCCCGCAGTGGGTAGCCCCAAAAGCACTTGGAGTGAATTTGTAAGTTGCCTTCACTCATCTCACTATCCTGGTTTTCATATACCTCTTCATGCTTCTGGCTATCGTGGTGAAAAGAATAAAGTAAGGTCTCGGTGCCATGCCATTTTCTTGTTGCTCAACAGTTTGATAGGCACAAAGCTCTCAGCCACGGACACATATCTCGCTTGTGATTCATCTGGAATGAATGGGAGATCCTCAGCCCAAAAGCATCCTCAGAATCATAGAATCGTAGAATCATAGAATCATTGAGGTTGGAAAAGACCTCTAAGATCATCGAGTCCAACCATCGACCCAACACCACCATGCCCACTAAACCATGTCCCTAAGCGCCTCATCTACACGTCTTTTAAATACCTCCAGGGATGGGGACTCCACCACTTCCCTGGGCAGCCTCTTCCAATGTTTAACCACTCTTTCAGTAAAGAAGAGTCAGGCAACTCACTTTCTGCATATTATTGCCTCAGGGCACACAGTGATGTAAAGTACCTGGAAAGATCTCCATTAAAGATTCAGATCCCAGGGAGGAATCAGCCCAGAAGACCCATTACAGAGAAGCACACAGAATTTTCAGAGACAAGCAGTCTCACAAGTTGCATCATTCACAGATTTCAATTCTTGTAACAAGTAAGTAGGAATACTCTACTGATAAAAACAGTAGTAGCATGTGCCCAGACACAGTACCTGCTCCTGCTCTGCTATTCAAGTCTTGAATGCTATCAAAAACTGCAGGTGGCTCCAAACCCAGGTACGCCTTTACGAGGAAACTCAGCTCTGTGATTGCCTCATCCAATTCATCTGCAGAATGGGATATGCATTTCACGGTGGAGAGAAAGGATACATAACAAAAACCCCAAGTTTTTATCAGTACGAAGTTACAAATCACAGAAGTTTGACACAGAAATGTATTCTTAACTCATCCAGCTCATCTCTTTGGGAGAAAAATCTTCATCTTCATAAATAGCACATTCAAGAAAATAATCTGAAATTCATCTCAGTTTCTCCACTCACCTAAATATTCTCCTTCTTCAGTTAGGTTTACTGTGCTTTATTTCTTTAATGATGTATCTAAATTGTAAGCTCCATATGCCCTTGACAATAACTACAAATACAATATTTCATACCACAATGATATATTTCACCATCACTGTGGTGAACCACAAAAATCACCTCCACAAAAGGGCAGACACAGAACAAACTAGAAAAGGATTCTTCTCTACCACCTGCTGTCCTCAATTCCTAAATATCAAGAAGCAAACATTTGTTTTAATGAAATATCTACCACCTTCACATTCCTTGTTTCAGGCTGGGGGACTTGAGCAAGTTACTAAGCCTAAGAGTCCTACAAGGAAAAGCTTTACAGCAGCCTCTTCTTTACAGTGAGACGTTGCCAGACTGCACATCAGCTGTCATTTCAACACTTGAAAAAAGCCTATCCTGCCCAGAAATAATTACGTCTGTTAGATCAAAAGCACCCCTGAACTCTGCCCAGAAACCAAGAGACAATTAGCACAGATCAGTTTAATATTCTCATAGGAGACAATACTTAACAAATCTGCTGCCGAGTTCAATAGTTGGTTCGCTTTCTAGATGGGCTTAAAGCACAACTTGGGCATAGCAGAGTAATTCAGCCCTGACAGATCTCCAGAGCTTTTGGATTCCTGGGACAAGAATTAACTGGGAAAATCAATTAAGGGATAGTTTAAACTGTTATGCTGAACATCAAACCATTCATCATCCTTAGTTTAATATTTGCCAGTGGCTTTGTTTGCATAGCAGTTTCAGTCCATCTATTGGTGAGACATTAGAAGTCACATTTATAGTATAAAAGAGATTAACTTACCTGTGTTGACTACTGCATCAAAGTATCCTGGAAAATCCTGACTTATTTTGATGTACATGTCCACTCTGGAGACTGCCTCTTCAATCTCTGGCCTGCTGAATAATCCTTTCCTCCGCAGATGTCCCTCATATTTTTCTTTGTTCATTGGTACTAACAGGATATATCTGGGTTTAAAGTAGGTATTTTTCAAGCTACGCACACCCTTTAAAATTAAGCAGAGAAATGCAACGTTTTGTTCCTGAAACTGAGTGCCTGTTGAACTTGTAGCTGAGTTTAGGACAACTCTGCATTTATCACAAATTACTGTGAAAGCAGTACTGGAAACCTGTATCCAATCTACAGGTCTCAAGATCTAGCACCCAACTTTGCAAAATAGGCAAGTTCAAGGTGAAATGCCCTAAAGCTACATGTGGAAAGCGTTATAAGAATAGTATAACTTTATTCTAAACACTCTTTTGAAAGAATCCTTTTCATCAAATTCCACGGTGATTTAAAGCATCATACTTCTCATATCCACCAGTTAACGGCTTTTCCTTCTTTTCCATCCTTTCTATTATATCAGGACCTAGTTATTCTAAACGTGCGTATCACTGACTCGCACGATGGTACTGACACACAGCACAACTTATCTGCATCACCACCTTGGTCCTTAGCTTTCCACCATGAACAAACTGACAATTTTCTCCTCAGCTGGTATATTTTTCTAGGTGAAAGTGTGCAACTTCATCGAGATACAGGCATATTTATTTTGCTGGAGCAGCTTGCAATGTTACCCCCTCCTAAAACTGGGTATAACCACAATTCCCCATCAGTGACGTGATGTGCACATTCTTCATCTGTTACATTGTAGTCAGCCGTCTTAACCTGAACCATTTTTATCAGCAATAAACTATTCTGTTTATCTACCAATAAACAGGATTTTTAGTATAGCAGACTAGGAAACATTTACATGTGCCTTGCATCAACTCTGCTGTTGATGATGCTGTTGGCACTAATTGACAGCTGAGGACTGCAAACACCTATAATCATTTCAGCTAGATCTGAAAAAGGAGACCTGTCTGCATGCTAGGACTCACAGGCAAGGTCTTATTAAATGATGCAGGTAATGGTACCAACCCTGAATTTCCGACAGCTCTCCTTTGCAACGACTCATACTTCGAAGAATCTTTTCTCTCTCCCTCTCACTCTATATATAAAACAGAATATCATAACCATGTAGCCCTGCAGTATGGTATTGCCATCAGATTTGTACTGAGTTTTCAAGACCTGAGGACTGAGGCTTGTCCTGCTCCATCTGAACTTTTCTTGACTTGGCTGTAACTTTGTTTTACTTGGTTCAGCTGTGACAGCAATTTCTCTTATTGATCAGGTGCCTATATCTAATTGTTTTACTTCTGTTTATCTTTGCGTGGTACAACCACAGTTTTATATGGATAGCAGTAACAAGCAGTTGTTCCAGGTAGAATGAGATGCTTATGATTCAACATAATAACATAATGTAGATAAATAGAGGCCTGGCATGATAGCAAAGACCTTGAGAAGTGGAAACACAGGACACAATGTAAAGGACTACAGGCATGGGATGATAAGAAATGGGGCGCAGTCTTGACACTACACACCTCACAACTATAAACATCTCAACAACGGCCAGTTAAAAAACAAAGGCCCGGAGCTGGACAAAGCTGGTTTTAGGGGCAACAAGAAGAAATAGTATCATAGATACATAAAGGGCACCATATATAATGAATACTTGTACCAGAAATAGTGTTGCCAGCAGGAGCAGGGAAGTGATCGTGCCCCTGTACTCGGCACTGGTGAGGCCGCACAGGCTCGAATACTGTGTTCAGTTTTGGGCCCCTCACTACAAGAAGGACATTGAGGTGCTGGAGCGTGTCCAGAGAAGGGCAACGAGGCTGGTGAGGGGTCTGGAGAACAAGTCTGATGAGGAGCGGCTGAGGGAACTGGGGTTGTTCAGCCTGGAGAAAAGGAGGCTGAGGGGAGACCTCATCGCTCTCTACAACTCCCTGAAAGGAGGTTGTAGCGAGGTGGGTGTCGGTCTCTTCTCCCAAGTAACTAGCGATAGGACGAGAGGAAATGGCCTCAAGTTGCACCAGGGGAGGTTTAGATTGGACGTGAGGAAAAATGTCTTTACTGAAAGAGTGGTGAAACACTGGAAGAGGCTGCCCAGGGAAGTGGTTGAGTCCCCATCCCTGGA